GGAAAAACACTGTAAATTATCCCAGCTTTAGATGCATTAAAATTTTACCTTCATGACAGTTTATCTGCTCTCAGTCTCCTAAATATTAACTATTTGTTTGGTTTGTTCTGGTTTAGAAATCTTCAGCTCAACTTGTGTCATTTTTGCTTGTTCAGTATATTTCAGTTGAGTTGCGATGTTAAATGCAAAGCTAAATATTTCAGTTTCTGTAAAGATGGCTGAGAGTAAAATCCTGTTCAGATTTTATTATTACTATTAAATGAAAGTGTTATAAACTACAAACACTGGAATGTTATGTAGAAATATTTCCCTTTTCAATGAAGCTCCTAAAGTCCATTTAACTTCAAATGTCTGACAAACTACAACAAAAAGACTTAAAACATATATAACCTGGAAACAGTCATAATATAATAACTACCTGGAATTGAACACATTTTCTTTTATGAAATGAGCTATTCAGTTTTGTACTTTAAAGATAAACAACAATTATAAAATAAAAAAAAAACGCACAGACCTTATTATTGTTTTTGTCTTTGTCGCTCCGTTTTGTCTCCGGACAATTTGGCAAATTTATTGCTCTGGTCATTTATTTCAGTTGCAAACAGCCTGGACCTCTGAAGCAGGATTTAAATGTGGTAAATAACATTTGCGTTGGATTCTTATTTATTATCGACACATTTACATCTATGGGCTCGATGGCTTCAGTGAGGAAAAATTCTTGAACTTTAAAAACCTTTTGACTCGTTAAATCCTCTCTTATGCCCGCGTTCAGAAAAATGCTGTGCGCAAAGACTGAGATCACACAGAGATAACAGCGTCACAATAATCAGCATTTATTCAAGACAGATACAAACTATCACCAGACAAACGCATCACAAAACATCAGAAACCTCAGAGCACAAACAACACATGAATTTACCTGAGAGAGAAAAAGACAAAAGATGGAAACGACAAACAAAAAGCAAATATGTCTTTGGAGAAGTTGCAAGCGCAAAATCTGATTTGTTACTTCTGTGTAGAAAGTTTTATAGTAAAAGGCGTATTCTTATCTTTAATTTATTCAAATAAGGCGTATCTTTGCTCATCCAACCAGGAGCTATCTCTGACCCTCTATCTGAAGCCAGAAACCCCTGCTGTGTTTACGGCCTTTCACAGATGAGTGTGAAAAGCTACAACTTCCACTGTATTGTTTTCCCACAGACAAAAGGCAGTTCAAACGATCCTAGCAAACCATCTGCTGGAACTACAGGTAACATAAAGGTCAATAGGCCAGAATACATTATTAATTTCAAAACCACAATTAGGGCATTTGAATCAAGACATGTTAAGTTTTAAAACTAGCTTATTTCAAATTTATTTCCTCAACAGTAGGTTGACAAGCTAATTTGTAAATAAATAATGTGTTTGTTGATGTTTATCAAACACAAACCATAAGTGATGTTTTATTCACTCATGAAAAACAAAACTATAATTTCTGTAACTTTGATTAGATGCTATAGTTGTTCTGCTTTGTCTCCATTTGTCTGCAGATTCATTTGTTTTCAAAGTGACGGATTTGAATCAGTTTATCATCTTGACATTGTTTTGGTTTTGCAAAAAAAAACAAAAAAAACGTGTTTGCATTTTACACAGTGAACAAATTAAAGAGTGATGTGGGGTTGCCATAACAACAAGCTTTTAACCTCCAGTACCAAATGTACTGATTCGTTTCCAAGTCGGCAGGAATCTGTGGAAGGTCAGTAAAGTTATTTTAAGGACATCTGTGACTAAAATGTCATGATTTATAACAACAGTCAACTGTTTTAAACTAATGTCACATGTTAAACATGTTAGAGTTAATCCCAGAGAGAAAGTTATTAGAAGAAACAGTTTTACAGTGCATTAAAATAAGCTTTAACACTGGAATGAAGATAAGATATAAAATAACTAAACGGCTTTCACATTACAGCAGGCAAACAAAAGGTTTGCTGCAACATCAACATGCAAATGTGGTGCAAAGTCAGAACAAATTCATGTAAAAACATGGAGCCTAAAATTAAAATTAAAATAAATAGGAAAACATGGAATTCATGTATGTAATGTAAATTTATTGCAGGGCATTCATGTATGTTTTTGCATTTGTGTGCATTGTGTCAAATAAGAAGTTTATTTATTATTATTATTATTTATAACCTTTTAATGCAAATAAATCCTATTTAGCTTGGGGAGATTAACATGAGGTGGACAAACTAAATCCAGCCAGGATTTCTAAACATGATATTCACACAAACGAAGGCTGCTGGGGAAAACTCTTACGGTAAGTTTGAACTTTAAAAAGTAAAACAGTAGTTGTACATAAAACTCTTTACACTTTGCTAAGATACTTGAGGATAAATCTGATTAGATCAGAGGGGAACAATGATAATATTTCAATTTTGGCACATGTGTGACTTTGACTAGAACATTGTTTGTTTTTCTTTTCATTGAACTTTTAAGAAGAAGCCAGTCATTGTTTTTCTTTTAAACTAACAAAAATAAAACTTTGAGCTCCTCTGATGTTTGATTTTAATCCATGATGGAAATTAAATAGGAGATTTTTTGGTGATATTTTGCGATGTCTGTGATTCCTGCTTGATGATCTCAGTGTGTGCATAGACACAGGCAGCAGAACTGGATTTATTCAGCAGCTTCCGAGACGTTTTGATTGGTTGTCATCTTGGGGAAGGTGGAATCAAACCTACAACTTTCAACATGTCCTCATTGAGCATTTACTGAAAGTTGCAATTTGACTTGTTTTGAGTCACAGTGCACCCATTTTACTCTCTCCACAGCTGTCATTTATAACATATCTCCCATCTTTTTTTCAGATATGTTGGGAAACTCATCATCGTTCTCAAATGAGAGCGTCTTTGGCTCGTCATTGTTAAACATGCGGTGCTTCTTCATCACGCCGAGCTCCTATGTCTTCTCCGGATACTACCTGGTCCTGGTTTCAGTCGTCCTCCCCGTCTCCATCCTGATCCTCTGTCGTGGTTTCCAGCAGTGGAAACAAACCTCTCCCTCCTCCACAGCTGCGAATGTGAGTCACTCTGACCACTTCGCCTTCCACCTGGCTGTCGTGGAGCTGGTCGGCGTCAGTGGGTCCATCTGCTGCTGTTGGGGAATCTATACGTCTGATGTAAACATGGTAACAACCGGTGACCATCTGTGGTGCTTCTCATGGTTTGGGGAGACGCTGTTTCAAATGCTGACCTGTTTGGAGCATTACCTGGCTGTCAGTCACCCCGTAACCTACCAGAGCTCCAGAAAAGGAAGAGGGATTAAAATCAGGAATATTGTGATTGCTGCTGTTTGGCTGCTTTGTGTTGCTGGAACGTGTTGCATATTCAGCAGCTTCCTGATTGGAAATTTTTTGATCTGGATGGTGTTTCTAGCTGTGGGTTTTTTCTGTAACGTCTGGATTATGTTCTTTCTGGTTCGTCCTGGTCCAGGTGAAAAGCCTGGGCTGAAGAAAAAACTGGACCAGCGAAAGCGAAGAGCGTTTATCATTATTGTATCAATTCTGATGGTGCTGCTGCTGCGATGTGCCATGAATATAGCTTGGTTTGCCATATCCCTGTCTGAATCAAAGCGTTACTGTTTGGTCTTGGCGTGCATCATGTTTCTCACGCTGCCTGGGAGTCTGATGCTTCCTCTGCTGTTTCTGCACAAGGCAGGGAAACTACAGCGTCGCAAAAATGCCAAATAAGGGCAGGATTTTCAAGATGGACGCCAGGGAAACTAAATTATAAAGAATGGTTGGACTAAATGAAGGACTTTAGTTTGTTAATATTTATCTAAAACTCTCAGAAATGTTTTATTTAGAGATTTAGTGCATAATTTTATTAATCTACAAATGACTTTGGATTAGTAACCCATTTCTCAGATTCTCTGGATTTAAGCTAAATGTTTTGTTGTAACTTTTTCTTCATCATTTTATTTTGTATTGTTTTATAAGAAGATTAATAGTCTTGATTTTTGGCACTATTTATTCTCTAGATTTTAAATATGCTTTATATGTAAATGTAACAATTATTTGACACCTAAGTGGGAAGAAAAGCTGAGTTAGTATTGTACAAGTGTTGGATATGAAGCTAGAATTATGTAGATAAATGTTGGCTAAAATGAGGTTTGACAAAAGCCTGGTCACACATTATGTAATTTTTACAGGAAAAGACTTAAACACTTCAGCCAATGCGCTAATTTATATGATGAAAAGTATATATAATATTTTGGTAAAATTCCTTTGAAGTCATAAATGTTTGTAGTGTTTTGTTTTGTGTGCCATGTCCGCAGCAGAATTATTATTTACATCAAAATGTCTTATTCTGCAGTTGTGTGTCTAAAAAGCTCATCAGGATTCTGAATTTGTGGTTTGCATTATTTATAAGACATAATTATCACAATTTCATGGAATAGGGGCTTTGGATTTGCTTTGTGTGTGAGGATGAGTTTTACTTTCTGAAAATAAAGTAAAAAACTGTGCAAGTGGCATGCTGAAGGTTTCCGTTGCATATTTACAAATGTAATCGGTGGAGAACTGGCGCCCCCTAGCGGCGAACATGCACACTCCGTTTGCAGCAAAGACCAAATTTAGGAACCAACATTTCTAACAAACTTCAGGATTTCATCTAACTAAATTACCCTCTTCATTATTAAATCAACAGGCGGAGGCCAAACAGATCCCTGATCATCAGCTGGTTGAAAACATCATAATGGTAAAACATTCAAACACTGTAAGTTCAGACAAAAAAAAAAAAATATATATATATATAGACAAAGCCAGATGATAAACTCAAAACTAAAGAACATCTTGTTCATTTTAGAACCCTATAAATATTATCAGTAAAAAGAGAGCAGGACTCCTTTGAATTAAAATCCCTATATTTGATAGCAAGTATTCTTTTAAAACATCATAAAGTTATTAGGACACATTTCAATGCTAAATTATGGTTATTAAATAAAGCAAAGAAGAAAAAAAATACTTTGATCTGCTTTTAACAGAAAGTACCAGTATGCAAAAAAATTAACATTTGCCATCACACATTTCTTACAGAGATAATAAAAACTCATGAAGTAGTCACCTTCGCTCTGAAGTGATTGAGTAGGTCAAATGTACTAATCGTCACTTGTTTAAATGTCATTTACATTCAAATATTGGCCAGAATATTTATATTTTTTCACAGGAAAGAGTGGAAAGTAAAAAAGAAAAAAGAAGACCATGTGAAATAAAAATAACTGGTGATATGTTTACAGACAAGTCGTATTTAAAAACAAGTCTGGGGAGAAAATTTCCAAGCACAATTAAAAAGACGCTCCTCCAGTAACAATAAAACATTTTCGGATTAATCAATTTCCATGGAAATAAAGGAGAACACGGCTGCAAACAGACTCGCAATTATACAACTACACATCTTTGAAAAGCAAAAGCGGATCCTCCTACACAACCAACAAGAATGTGGCCACTTTTTTCAGGGTGTTAAGTGAACAACAAAACACTTGTCTTTTCCGGCATACAGCGGCAAAACCAGCTGAAGAAATGTTCTGCAGCTCGGCCTGGGTTGCTAGGAGACGGGCAGAACTCCGTTTGGGTTGTTCGGTAACAGGCTGGGCTTCACTGCGGTTACTAGGTGAAACACAGTGCCTCCTGAATTCTGACGTTACATTTTAGAGGTTTTTAAACGCCAAAGAATTTTAACTTATTGCTAAAAAACAGATTATTTTTTAAAGCGCTGGGGCTGTTTTTGAAGCATCAGAGTCTCAAAATAAAGAACAAAAACAGGCAAAATGTGATTTTATGTACCCTTTAAGAAAAAAACTGAACGAGTGAAATGTCCCAATTCATAAGAATGGTAAAGTGAATAAATATTTCCCTAGATAAAAATGTAAATATCATTAACCCTAAAAGTGTAACTTCTCTATCAAACATTGCAGCTTACAACACTGCAATTCTCCTGCTCTGTGTAGAAACAGCAGCGGTAGCACCAGGCTGCTTGGTATGGTGAACCAGACACATGACACTATTATGACGCAATCATCAGCTCCTTGTCTGAGGTACAGGACAAAGTAAAGAGCTCCCCATGTTATCCTCAGCAGAAGAGCGGCCAGAATAGCAGAAATGGTGTAAAAAGCCCTCTGCTTGGACGGGTCGACCCGGTCCCGGTTTTCAGCCTGCTCCCCGGGACCGGGCCGGATCAGGACACACAGCACAGACAGGCTGCAGAAGGAAACGCTTGTTAGGGAAACGATCAACATGCAGCCAGGGAAAACCATATTCCTCACAGAAATTAAAGCCATTCCGATGAAGCAAAGCAACCAAACGCAGCCGACGACGGCGTTCCTGATTCTGATTCCTCTTTCATTCCTAAATCCCACGTAGGCGATGGGATGAACCACAGCCAGGTAGCGCTCCACGCACATCAGGACATGAAAGGACATCTGGCCGTACCACACAAAGAACATAACATAGACCCCACAGACTATCAGATATAGATCATTGCTACTGATGCCAATGAAGGAGAAAATGTATCCCAACACATCGATGAGCTCCATGGTCACCAGATGGTAGGTGAAGTAGTCGGTGTGACTCATCGTCCCTGAGGAAGAGGACGGACTCTTCTTCTGCTGCTGAAGACCGAGGTTGAGAACAAAGAGGCAGAGAGGGAGGGTGAGGAATATTCGGATGACGTTGAACGTGGTGTAGATGAAGGAGCTCGGGCTGGAGCTGAGGCAGAGTGTGTAGAAAGAGCTGGAGAAGACGCTGGCGGACATGTTGGAGTTCGGAAGGCTGCTGTTGAAGAACGAAGAGGCGTTCACCGACATTTCTGCTGAACATGAATACATGACAAATGGATTAAACAAAAGGAGCACACTGCAAAAACACAAAACCTTACCAAGTATTTTTGATCTAGTTTCTAGTGCAAACGTCTTAAAATCAGACAAAACTAAGCAATAAGTAATTTTTCATCCAGATATAAAACTTGTTTTAAGTCAATAATCCCTGAATATTGATGAAAACCTATTTATAAGTGAAATAATCTGCCAGTGGAATAAGAAATTTTAACTTATAAAAAGTGAAAATGTCTAAAAAGTTAGTTTTTTTTATTATTATTTCAAGTGTACTAAGATATCTGCACAATAAACTACTAAAAACATTCAGTAACATTTTGTGTTTTTGCAGTGTACCGTAATCAGCAGTGGCACAAAATATTCTAATTGTAAACATTTGAATGAGCAGATCCGTAAATAAATGTTTAAACTAGGAATTGTTATTTCTGCTAATTCTGGTTTTAAATGTCATACTAATCCCATATCTCTAAAACTCTACACAGCTAAAACTGTAAAGGTTCAACAAAAAAAATGAATTCAGAGTAGCCTTTTTTTCAACAATCAACTCACATACTGAATAAGGACGAACAAAACTAAAAGTACTGAGAGGCGATACAAGACATTTGTCAAAATGTTATAATTTGCATAAAATAATAAAAAATTGCTTGAGTGCTGCAGTATTAAACTATAAATAATGTTGATAAAATATTCATCTCTTAATGAAATGCTGATGTCATAAAAACAGTTTTAATGTTTATACATCTATTAGGTATAATAAATGTATAATATATTTACTTCTGAAATGTCTCACAATAAACATGAAAGTGACCCACCTTGATTCTTTGACGTCTTTCTCCTGCTTGTCTTACAGAGTTAGAGACAGCTGCTAAATTATCCCTCATCTGGTCAATAGTTATAAAAAACAACAGGGGACGTATTTATATGAAATGTTGAAACAAAAGTCCAAGTGGATTTTGCATGTTGCAAACAAATTAGCCTGCAGTCATTCTTTTTTGAATGAGTTATTGTAGGAAAATTACACGATTAAAATATCAGATTACACGTGAGAGCAGGACTCTCCCAAACAAACATAAACTGTCATAAAACTGAACATTTGACTTATTTATAAATTATTTCAATAGAAATACATCCCCCAAAAAAAGGCAAAAACACAAACAAGGACTTACTTATTGTAACAAAATACAAATACTGAGTAAAAACACCTTAGATTAATAATTGGCTAACTATTCTAAATATAATTTTTTCTGGTGTAAGCAGGTGAAGGAATTGTATTTATGTTTATGGTTGATTAACAACCTAACTTTACAGCACAGATATCAGACTGCAGGTTTTGTAAATTCACACTAACATGACGCCGGCGCCGCCCCGACGTAGAACTGGAGAAAACCTCCGACAAACAAACTGTTATAATGGCAGAAGTAGTGGAACTCACATATTCAGAACGTTAGCATTTAAAGTCAGTTACAAGCAGAGACGAAAAAGTGCTGTCTATAATCAATCTTACCTAGAAAAGTCAAAATCTATTAGAAATCAATTAATTAGTTTTAAAAAAAAAATACCAGGGTGTTAAATCTTATTTAAAAACATATGTATGAGTGTACATCAATATAGACACCATTGATGTCAGACAACACTGATGTCTGTATTGATGTCCACACTCCTTACCGGTTGGTGGCGGTAACGCTTACCTACAAAACTAAGAAGAAGAACTCAACTCGTTTCCCAAAACATTTTTTGAGTCATTTTTGCCTTATCAACCAAACTGAGGTAAAAACGACAGGCAGGGAAATTTTTCAACGAGTCCTACATCAGGTTTTTAAGGTTATTTCCGGAAACAACGTAGAAACCATCGTTAGAGACCAAGTCTCTCAGCCAGAGGACGAATGGAGGAGACAAAGTCTCACTGGATGCGTGAAAGCTGGCGGGAAGCGTTTTCTACGAGGAAAAGCGGGTGAGTAATGACTTAAATAATACCGGGTTGGGAAAATCTGCCTTCAGGAAATGCTTAAAAATAAGCATTAGCATAAAAAGGTGCTTAAATGTAAATACCGCTGTATGTTTTCATGCTTCCTTAGAGTTAGCTATGGAATATACACACATAAAATCAAGCACTTTGATTTGACTATTATACAGTGTCATTATGACAAAAAAATGGGACGTTTACCTCAAGTTACCTTTGTACGTGTGGTATTGATGGAGTCGGCTGCAGACCTTCATCCATTTCTCGCATTATTTCAGACTCCGTTTGGTTTTTTGGAAATGTAATAAATTGTATTTCCCCCTCTAAATGTTCTGGGTAAGGGCTCTGGGGTTGCATGTTCCCCACTAACAACGTTTTACCATGATTTATTATTTTCATCGAAAATGACGGCAGCGCGTTAGCAATCTTGAACTCCGGCTATGTTTACGGAAGTTCACTTTGTCTAAATAAGGGGCGTGTACTTCCGGACAAATTACGACCAACCGCTGATTGGTCCGTTGCTGAAACCCGCCTAAAATGATTGTCAGGTGTTGATGTTGCACATCTAAACCAAGCAGCTGCAATATATTTAAATTTTATTAAATCATTCCCTTTTTACTCTTTAAAAGTGTGTATTTCAGAAAAGAAGCGGTTAATATAAATTACATTGGAATATTGTTTGTATTTTTTAAAATTAATAAATGGATCGTAATTGGTTTATGCAACACGTAAAATGAGTATGGATATTTCTATTGTCACCAGTAGTGCGATTACCAGCCGAAACCACTGGGTGGCAGTGTGGTCTATTCTCCACCAGGCTTTAACTCTTCATCAAAGCCAAAGAAAGTCTGATGGAAATAAAACACTAAATCTCTTTCTGCATTTAAAATAAATGTGAAAATCTTTATGACGATGCAGTATTGTATAGAATAAACTGATGATTTCTTTATTTTTATGTATTTGAAAAAGTATGTTGTTGAATATGTAATTTTCCTCTTTATGTGAAAATGGGGTAGATATAAGTTTATATCTCCTTCTCCTTTTTATTTGTGATCTCTTTTTGTTGTTACATAAACTATTCATATTTACTGAGTGAATTAAATTTGAAAAATAAAATTAAATACAGAGTCAAATAGATTTACTACATATAGACATATTATTTCCATCATTAATTGTATTAAGTCACAAAAAACAAAATATTTTTCATTTGAATCTGCATAAATCTGAAATAAACTTCAGATTTTTTTTTTTATTTTTTTTTAGAAAATACTTTTTGTTACTCCAAATCCACTGGACCCCATTTTAAAGCCCCATTTCAAAATCATTTATGTAGCTTGTACAGGTTTTAACTTTCTACACATGACCTTGCTTTCACTGAATAGACTAAAACTTCATTAAAAAAATTATTTTTAAATTTGTGGCTATGTAATATTCAGTTAATTCAAACATATAAATGTGTCAAAAGCAAAAACATGAGAAACCTGTTAAAGTGGGTTAAAGTCTGATTTTCAAGCAGTAGGTTATTTACTACACTAACCCATAACCAGGGTGTTACGTGTCATAATCTCCAGCTTCATTTAAACTGAAATATGATCCTATATTTGACTGGAAGCAAGCAGGTGGACGGATCGTTGTGGCCAGTTTGTTTTGCATTTTGCCATTTTGATAGCTAATTTCTCTAAGCAAATTTTCATTTTGGCCTCTCTGGTTTCAGGGTAACTGGAGTACAAATCAAAAACTGGAGATGAGACGTTTGTGCAAATATCTGTCTTTTCCTTTTCCAAGGTCTGATTTTCATAGAAAACTCCAGTAAATTTTATTTAATATTACTTTACTCTGTTTGAAGTGACTCCAGATTCCACTTTGGGTTTTTCGGTCAGTAACACAAAAGGTACCAGCAATTTTATATATCGGAGATGAGAAATCAATCCTATAATATATTCATAGCTGCTTAAAAAAAAGGAAAACAATTATCAAATACTTATTAAAAAGGTTTATGTCTGCGATACATATGTATTTCTAATAGATTTAGATAAAATATGTTGGAATAAATTGTGTCTTTAGACAGCTTATTATAAAGCAATTTTAGGCAAATGCCCCCCAAAAAATCTTAACATTTTCTTTATTTTAAATGCTTTTCCACACTCATCTTGGTTTCTACAAACATTTCTTTTTGCTGTTTTCATTGCTTTATATTGTCATTATTTATTTCAGAATCATTTCACAGCATAAAGTATAAATTTAATGGAAAAACCTCCATTAAAAATTAAAATAAAACAAATAATAATGTCACAGAGCCATTGCAGTTGCAAATGTTTGCTTTTTATTGATTAAAAAAAGAGTTGAGATTTACAACATTTATATCTGCTGGGTTTTTATTTCTTTCATAAAAACCACAGTTTTTATGAACGAAGAGACAACAGGAGATTAAAAAGAAGAAAAAGAAACTTTCAAACATTTTCTGCTTGTTACAGATTTACTGTGACTGAATGGCCAGGAAAGCAATGAAAGAATAAATTAAAATAAAAGATTTTCCTTAAAAAGTTACTTTACCTTTATATTAGATCTGATTTTCCAGATTAATTGCGATCCAGAAACATTTGAATGGATTGTTAAGGTGAACATTGTAGATTGCACCAAAAAACACAAAATCTTACGAAGCACATTTGGTCCAGTTTTTTGCGTAAATATCTTAGTACACTTGAAATAAGACAAAGATAACTTAGAAGTAACTTTTCAGGAATATAAGAGCTTGTTTTAAATCAATAATTCCTAAATATTCATTAGAAAAATGATTTTTTTTCCCCCCCTTATGATATGTGGAATAGTCTGCTGGTGGAAATATAATTTTTATCAATGTTTAGCAATTATGGTTTGAAGACAAGCTCCTATATTTTTGCTGAAAAGTTAGTTTTGTCTTTATTCAAGTGTGCTAGCATATTTTTACTAGAAATCAGACAGAAATAATCAGATTTTGTGTTTTTGCAGTCTGGTCTGAAGGGGGCTTCAATAAAGGTCATTTTATTTTGTTGACCTTTGCTTTCCGTCCATGTTTTTCTTGCAACACATCAACTTCCCTGTTCTGTGCAGAAATAGCAGAGGCAGCACTAAACTGCTGGGCAAATAAAACCAGAAGCAGCTTGTCATGACTAAACAGTAATAATTTGCCTTCGACATGTAAAATATTGACCTGGTTAGACCCCAGGTGAACCTCAACACCAGCACCCCAAGAATGGCCATGATGGTATAAAACGCCCTTTTCTTCAGCTGGTCGACTTTCTCCTTGTCGCTGCTTTGGTCCCCCGGACCCGGACGGATCAGAACACACAGAACAGACAGGCTGCAGAAAGAGACGATAACTATGGCTGTGATCAGGAGGCAGGAATCCATGATGGTGAACAAGTTCTCCACCAACAGCAAACCCATCCCCAAGACGCTAAGCAGCCAGCCGCAGCCGACGCTCAAATTTCTGACGACGATCCCTCTGGCGCTCTTTGAGCTGAGGTAGAGGACGGGATGAACGACGGCCAGGTAGCGCTCCACACACGTCAGGACGTGGAAAAACGCCTCGCCAAGCAGGATCAAGGAGGCGGGAACCAGCCCCAACGCCAACACGTTCAGATCCTTCACGTAAATACCGCAGCAGGAGATCGCACACCCGGCGACGCCGAGCAGCTCCATGGCAACCACGTTGTACGTGAAGAAGTCAGAGAGGCTCATGGGTGCCGTCAAGGGGCTGGAGCAGGTCTTCCTCCAGTGTTGGAAACCCTGGGAGAGGATGAGGATGCAGAGAGGAAGCATGACAGAGGCGTAGGTGAGGATGAAGCCGGTGAAGACGAAGGAGCTCGGTCTCACGACGAAGCAGTACATGAATATCGGGAACGAGAAGTTGGCCGAAGCACTTTCACTAAAAATATGATCGATGGAGGAAGAGTCGTT